TTCACAAATCCTTAGACATTTTAATAATTAAGCACTAAACTGGATTTTCCAATTTCACATTAAGACCATTGTGTTTCTTTTCCTGACTGTATTTCAATTTTAATACAAATTCCCTGGGTTTCAATCATTTATTTACTTCGCTATTAGAGTTTATTTCTTTCCTCAGAATACGTTTCGATGTTTTTTCTTTCTACTAAAAAAAAACACCGAAACGTATTCTGAAGAAAGAAATAAAGTCTAATAGCGAAGTAAATAAATGACTGAAACCCAGAAAACGAATCTGTATTAAAATTAAGACCATTTACATTTTCATAAAAGCTTGGGATATTTTCATTAAAGAAGGGCCGTGCATGAATCCTCTTAAATTTGATTTTATCAGGTTATTGATATTTTAGAATATGCAATTTTGACTCGCATTATATCAATATAAATTGATAGTAAGTTCTCTTGGAATTATGAATTTTCTATTCCAAATTAATGAATTTCATGAATTGAAAATAACTAGATTAACTTTCATTTTAAATGCCAACTTTCTGTATTGCACTAAAAGGTGATTTTTCATTATTCATCGGATTGAAATACAGTAGGTATTCAGCCCAAAGTTTGTACATTCGGGCTTTTACCATCCATTATGCAGGCACCTTTTTGAGTATTTTTTTATTAATTAAATGCGTCAGTACGCGAACATTTTGCCCAATTTAGCCATTTAAGATTTAATTACCTCAAAATGTGGAACGTGACGCTGTCGATTCTAGGTGGCAAACAGTATCCCTTGTGATAAGCTTTAAAAGGGGTCTATATTGTCAGGAATTAATTACACGTTCATCGCCAAACAGCCTTGTTTGCAGTTGAGCTGATATCTGAACAACACTTTATCTACACAATTATCTACTTTGCACCTACATTTTAAAAATCTGAAATAGTCATTTTACTGTGATATATGCAATGTAGAGATATAAAAAAACAGCTTACAGTTATGGGATTAATCCGCTGGATTTAAATATCAATTAATGTTTCGAAATTTACAATCAGCAACAATCTGAAGAAAGAACATCAAATATGATGTTCTTTTTCATATTTCTGCTAACTTAGAGTTGCAAGTTTTTTTTCAAGTTGCAGTTTCATTCTCACGTGAGCTTTTGATATTTGAGAAGCAACAGGTAGTTATTACTCTGAAAAACATTACTACCATTCTCCCAGTTTTGATTAAGAATTATAATGTGTTGTACGAATTATAATATAATGTACTGCCTACACCCGAGAGGAATGACGCCAATTTTGAATCACCCTGTATGTATACCTACATTTCGGGGTGTACTTCGACCAATTATTTTGTCCATTGTTCACATAAGCTCGCCAATGCTAAATCTGTGCAATAAATGTAGGTGGATAAATTCAGCAACCGCTGCTGAATTTTAAATTAATTTTCAAATTATTTGTTCGCAGAATGTGCTTCATATAAATATTGCAAATGTCAATTTCCAATCAAATATGTTTATTTTGGTTAACAGATATGGATAAAAAATGCTTATTGAAATTATTCGTATAACAAAAGCAATTGGTATTCAAAAAGGCAATTGGTATTCAAAAAGAGGAATAATTAATAAAGGAGTTCGATTACAATGAGCAATAACTGACCAATCGATTTAGTGGCAAACATTGTGCAAGAAATATGCTGCAACACCATATCAGTTACACTATTTAGAGAAAAGCGTCTTCGTTTTCATTATGTTTCCTATTGGAAAATTTGTGTGACGCTTGCGGTACGAAAAAAAATTTACATGCATGGCATATGACGCCATGAATCAAGAAAAGCTAGGGATGAAAAGTCGACATATTGAGTCACATTTCTGCAAAGATAATAATTCCACAGTGTCATCGCATAAATATATATGCTCCGACTAGTAGGTAGTAAAAACAGTGGCTGCCCTTTACCAGCTAATTTTCACTAATATTTTGATATTTATTCAACCCCATAAGCTTTGAAGTAGTGCCATTATGTATGAAACTCGATTTGAAACTGAAAAGAAAATTTTTCGTTTCTAGTAATTTTTGGAATTTTCTCTCCAGAAAACTTTTTGTTGTTGTTGTTGAAACGGTGTTTCAATTCAGAGGGGGATACTGCATGAAAAAATTTGTCGAAGTTTGCTGATCACTTGTATGACCGCAAATGATTCGTTTTCCAGACATGGGGTGTTTCAGTTTTTCTTAAAAGCTGATGATAAATTTATTTCTCTGAAAGCTGTAGAGACAGAGACATAAAATTTTCTAGGTTTTAAGGAATAATCTTTGCACATTTATTGCATGCAAAAAATAATTTTATGTTCGTCATTGTAGTGTATATAGGAAAACATCTACATTTTTTAAACAAAAAAATGATACTCCACTGAGAAATTTCAAATGAAAAATCATTTTTCAATTTTCGACAAAAAATCTGCCTTTCTTTTCGTATGAGACGCCGTTTTGATGCAAAAAAATAAAACACCATACAGCCAATTTTTCATTTCTTTAATACATTCTTAAGCACTATGTAAAACAACATCAATAAACCAGAACAACAACAGAAAATATTACTAATAAAATTTTTAACAGGAAAAGACATACTCCCAACCTGATCTGTATTTTTCAAGAAATATTTCCAACTTCAGCTAATAAACATTTGTATAGTTACACACGTATAGTTGCCTTTCCCTTTGATATTTGATATTTTTTACGTGTTTTAATATTTATTATATTAACTCCTGCCACCTCTCACAAATCGCCATCATAGAGCATTTTACACAACATTAAAAATGCCATTAGTTCATAAAATTTACTTTCAACTTGCAAAAAATAAGATAATACAATTTGCCATGAGAATAAAAAGAACAGCAAGTGGCCATTCTCGTGTAATTGGGTGCAATAAAATCCTGGGACCTTGGGATCCCTCTTAAGACGTTCAGCCCTTTAGCGATTCTTTTTTTGCCACACAGCGCCTAATGTCGATAATCAGACAAAAAATCAATCAGCACTTATAAACGGGACTTTTTGTCAGTTGCCAGTAATTGAAAGCAATTTCATTTATTTGCTTCCATAATCAATGTTTTTCTTAACAACGTTGCAAATAGAAACAATTAAATATATTAAGACCTTCACTTAATTAGTGTACAAATTGCTTTTAAATTTTTGTTAGATACGTATTAGTTGGTACACAATGATTTCGAACTATAGCTAACGTATATGAATTAATAGTTTTATTGTACCATTTACATTTGTAAAAATGCTTATTTACTTAACTCGCTTGAGCGTTGCCTTTCCAAATTTGGGTGCATGTTTTGCATAGGAATTCTTCATAAATACTAACTCAGTTATAAAAACCATCAATTTTCTCGATTCCTTTTATGTTTAAATTTTCACTTATTTAAAAATACATTTTATATTGACCAGTTCTAAAACGTTATTTATTTTTATGTGCAAACTTTCACCCTGATAATGTTGAGAATTTCAACAGGCAGGCTTCGATATTAAATGAGACATTTAGTGTAAGGAATGGCTGTGGCCTTAACGAAAATTAGTATGATGCTGACATAACGCTTTTGGCAAGCTGCTTTGTCATGAATTCTTTATCGCTTTTCACTCCACTAAATATAATAATTTAATAATACAATTGTATTAAAGTCAGATGAACCTGTTCTATGAAATTGCTACCTCAGCTATTTACGAGTGCAATTCAATGTTGAGTTTTGTCTGTTTTTATGGTTTCCTATCTTTGTCAAATTGTCACATAATACATATTATATACCTTGGTCGAGAAGTAAGCTATTATGTACTGAGCACTCTTGAATGCTGGGCGCCGAAGGATATAATATGCGAGGTATTAAATAGCCTTCTCAGCCCGGAGTAAATAATGGTGACTGTTCATCTTAGTAGTAAAAAAATATGTATTCTTTTACTACATGTCAGTCAACTTGAGTTTCTTTCTACTCATCTGGAAACTGTCTCCATTAAAATCTTGATGATTTCCCAGGACACTGGGCTTTTCCCTAACTTGAGTGAGTTTATTGCGATCAAAATTGTCCGGATTGAGTGCAAAACATCCCGCAAAAGGTTCTCTCTTAACCATAGAGCACAAGCAAGCTAGGATTGAGTTTGCTCGAGAACACGTGGACTGAGATTTGGATGACTGTAAGAAAGTCTTGTTTACTGATGGGTCAGAGTGGGTTTAAAAGATTCGGATGAGCGAGCTGTAATTTGGATAAGATCAAGAGAAATATACAGCCAAGCAGCGGTTCTCCAACTGGCTTTCCGTGGTGGCTCAATAATGTTTTGGGGTGGCATTTCTTTGGAGGCCCGTACGGACCACATTATAGTTTTTATTATTTGTATTGGATTGACCTAAGATCCTCGATAGACTGGAATAAAGAGGAAAATTCCGATCAAATGATGTTCTAATTTCAAATACAATCTCGAGTTGGCTGTCTTAAAGGCAATTTATTCCTCTGTACATATTCTTAACAATATATTTATCAAATTTTTATCATTTCATATTGGACATCGGGGATATACATTTATTATAAGTTCTATGTAAATCAACTTATTAATATTTTCTCTGATGCGTTTTGAACTTTAAGTATTTTTTCATTCAAATCGAAGTAATACAACGCAAATATAAAATCAGCTTTATCATCGATATTGAGAAAGTTAGAGTTGGTGATTATATTTCAGTTATTTGTTTAACGATTATTTATTTTTATACCATAGTGTTTCAAACCCACATCTAGAAATACGTTTGAGTAAAGAAAAGATTTTGCCTTAAATGTCTAAAAACAATCAAATGTATTTTGGGATGCGCATCCATGCTTTATTAAGGAAATTAATTTATTGTGGGTTTATATTTTCGTAGCAACATATAGATTAACCTGTACATATCAGTGTAAAAATTGTACATAGGCTACCAATTGTTCTTTTACCGTATATTGATGTGTTTGTTCATAATTTAGTTATTTGCTAGTACAGTTATTGAAATAATGCATTAAATATATTATGGTATTTTAAGAACTGTTGGTTTTGCAGGTAGATTTGAGGCACATGGACGAAAAAGCTGGAAGCAATATCGTAGACGTTGGAGTAGATTTATCCGAATTTTACATGTCAGTCGAATGGGATATTTTAGAAGTACCAGCAGTGAGGTACGAAAATTCCTAGATATTAAAATTTGGTGTCCCAAAACATGTTAATTTTACAGGAATGAAAAGTTTTACACGTGCTGCGACGAACCCTATTTGGATATCACCTTCAACATTACAATGAGGAGGAAAACGTTATTTTATACAGTTAACATAATCATACCGTGCATGGGAATCTCGTTTCTGACAGTGCTGACTTTCTACTTACCTTCAGACAGTGGGGAAAAAGTAAGTACGGCAATGTGAAAAATTTAGCGCCTGTTTATTTCACTAAACTCAATTGAACAAATTAATTTAATTGATTTCAACCGGTAAAAAACTGGATGGAGACACATTTTTTGCGCCCTTTGGTCAGCCGAGCCTGTGCTAAACAATCCGGGATTAAAATTACAAACTACATATAAACCAATTAACAACATACACAATCACAATTCATAATATGTTTGCAGTCAATAAGCCAATAGGGCCGTAAAAACATAATATAATTCAAGCTTTATTGCATATAAATACACAATAAGAACCACACCTCGGCTTGTGTCTTATGGAGTTGTTTTATCAGTGTATTTTTTTTGTTTTGTGGATTATTGTGGAAAAAGAATGATTAATAATTTGTAAAAGCACAATCAGATCTTACTATTGGTAGATTCGTTGATAGTGGCTGAGATTTTAAATTTAAGACAACCGTTAAGCAGCGTGATAATTGGGTTACTTAAGTTTAAGTAATTGCTTTTTACAATTTGCTGGCAAATGCTTGAAGAGCCATTGGAAATCTAGAAATATTTAGCTGATTTTCCGAATCTAGATCTGATATGAGCAGCTGAAACGAGAAGCTGATATCTGCATAGTAAAATGTAAAATATGTCCAGAGTATGGAGTTCGTTCGAAGAATTATTCCATTGTCATGAATAGGAGAAGCAAATAATGAAAACAGAGTGTTCGGCATCACTAAATAAAAAGTGAAAAGACACTATCGGTTTTAAGTGGTTTGTATAGGGTCATTGGTTATAACTTATAATCACATAAAAATAAACAATAAATTATATCGAGGAAATTATATTAAAAAATATATAAGTAAGACGATATCAAAGTCGAGTGTAGTGAGGTCAGCAGTCCAGCAAGTGCTACCAAAAGCCAAAACGACGCGCTAAATAGAAATTCAAATTTAAATGGCTTATAACTTCCTTGAAAGTAAAGCAAAATTGGAGAATCATGTAGAACAGTTAGTTGACGATAAAGTTTGAACAAAATTAAGCAAACAAAGAATTGTGCAAAGGCCCTATTGTAAATGTATTTTTGGGCGCTAACTACTTATCCCTGGTGTTTAAACTCGCTAATGAAAGAACTCAAGCCTTGTAGCATACAGATCTCGTTGCAATGAACTGGTCAATAATTATCTTGACAACAAGAAAAGCAAACAGGTTTATCGGTTTCTTTTAACTTGATATAAATTGTCGAACTAAAAATCGGGGTCGAATGATGGAATGATAAAGTAAATCGAGGAAACCATATTATGACAAGCGGAGAGTTTCATATTTATGGCACATCAAATTGGAAGAGAAAATGATAGATGAGCTTTTCCGAAAACCCTAATATTTTTAAGGATCTCATTTTTTATCCTCCGAAAAATGTCAGCACGGGAATAATATTTTGAACAGTTCCCCACTCTTCGTGCGGGGAAATAAGTCACCTCTAATCTTCTAAAAAAACGGACTTTTCAGATTTTATAGTACTGAGTTTCAAAGTTGCAAAGTTTGTGTATTGTTAGAACTTTTCTCTCTCGGAAAAATTATTGGTTTTAGTTTTAACAAATGTCAAAAACACTTCGATTCTCAGTGCTATTATCTTAATTTCGAAGTGTAGTTGCTTCCATCCATTAGTTTACAACCAAAGGGCATTTCAGTTTTACGTTACATTATAAATTCGAACTAACTTTTGTTGTATCTAATGAAATATAGTACTAAAAAATAATAATAACCAAGGCTAATATTTAAAAAAACATAAACTGTCTCAAACCGTCGAGCAGTACGCGCACGGAGAATGCGAATGCAAATCGTCATTCAATCCGGATATCAAAAATTAGTTATTGAAACTTGTGATTTTTTTCGAAGTGAAATAATGAATTGGAAATCAATTGTTTAAACTATATGTTCTTCCTATAATTCAACGTTTTTAATAGTGTAACCGAATCTCGTAATAATTTTTTTTCAAAATGTTCATAATCTTCCACAAACAACTGTCTTCATTTTACTCGTGGTCTTAATGTCTACTTATGGTAAACGTGCTATAATATAGCCGTGCTGTTTTACATACAAATAAACGCTGATCTTACTAGTTTCCCCATATTAGCTCTAATCCAATTTCTGCTGTTAATGGAACAGCCTTCATATGCTCATATTATCAAATAAACATGTTTTTATTGGAAATGCACAGAAACGCTGATATTTTTGCATAAACCAATCACAACAAAAAGCTGAAAATGGCATCAGCTTCCAAAAAATATCTTGCGTATAATCAAATACTCCAACAAACTCTGCAAAAGTAAATTCGAATCATTACTCAACTCGACTCGCTGTTTACTTTTACTAGAGCACAACTTTGTAAGTGACACGACATAAAATGGAATACAAAATAGAATTAGGAAATGGAATTCTATTGTTCTACAAATTTAATTTCTTTGAGTGTTGGATCAACTGTGGATTCATACTTTTATTTAAGAACATTTGTAATTTTCAGGAATAAATCACAAATTTGTATGTGATCAGTTACTAAACTTACTAAAGTTATTAACTTTAATAAAAGCAGTAGGCCACTGCGTGCAGCTAGTTTCGAGTTTGAAAGTATTACTGACGATGTCCCGATTTCTCCTGGGTGTTGAATCAAGACTTTTTGATCACCACTAACTAAATGTGTCTCGTCACAAGGTGCTGTACTTTTATATGCTTCTCTCCATGTTTGAGGCACGTGGTGAACCCTTGCATAGAGAATTATTACTTTCCAGGAAGTCGGAAAATAGCTAAAGTTATGGCAGCTACCCAACAAAACCAGTCCAATAGATTGTCGTCAAATTGGGTTATTGTATACTTATTTTGTTTGGCACCAGTGTCTCAACATAGTCAGTTTTGTTTAAAGAACCGCTGTTGGAAGCCACAATAAGCTCGCCTGAAACTCAGTTCACATTGAAATGTATGGGAAGCTTGTAGATACAAATATGTGGTTTTTCATAATTACTTCGCTACTTCAAGGATTCTCCAAATGTAGATTATCAGGGGAATTTATATCCCTTGTTGCAATTTTCTCTTAAATAATTCATTGCTATGATTACAACCCCCGAATGCCCGTTTCACATTAAACTCTGAAGTTTGAATTAGATAGACTGTCCCTTTAGGCTAAGTGCTCAGTGTTTCAGCTACTTACTTATTTATTGCGTTTGCCATTGATTTTCTACCTTTCTAGCTCCACTCGTTTAAAGGGAATGAGATACATTGCTTAGTTAGCAGTTCATAGTGCTCACGTATTCCGCACATTTTATCCGAAATTGCCCTTTCATTTTAAAACTTTATAAGTAACGAAACTAAAATGTAAATATTAGGAAAATGTAAACCCGTTTGAAATTAGTTTTTAGGAATATTAATTGTATTAATAACAATAGGAATTGTAACACAAATAAGATTTTTGTTAACGATATCTGTATGTCATTAATAAAAACTATTGCTATAAAGACTATTATTTTACTAGAATTTCTGAGCTAAAAGTGAACTATCGATAAGGAAATGTTAGCAGTTTTCCCAAAAAATTTGTGATTCTAAGAAGTTTTAGATTGTAGATAAGTAGATATTGTTGAGGCGGATTAATTTTTTACAAACTTCTTGTTGGAAGTTAGCAGTATAAATTCACCTGCACATCCCTTAGCCAAATATATTTTAAACATTTTAAATCCCCTAATAAATAACACAACTTCCTATGTTACAAATTCTGGACATTTTTTACAAAAATTATCAGACATAGACATAAATCCAAACCATATTCTAGTAAGTTTTAATGTTGTTAGTCTATTCACTAACGTTCCTGTTAATAAAACTTTAAATATCATCAAACAAAAATTACAAAATGACACCAATCTTAAAGAACGCACACAACTAAGCATTAACACCATTATTGAACTTTTAACAATATGTGTAAAGTCAACTTACTTTCAATGACATTTTTTAGTAATTTATTTATGGAAAATTTTGAATCAACTTTCATTAATAATTACAAATTTAAACCAATAATTTGGTGGCGTTATATTGATGACGTATTCTCCATTTACAGTCATGGCGAACAAAAACTTGATGAATTTTTATCTTATCTGAATAATAAAGAACCAACAATTAAATTCAGTATTGAAAAAGAACAAAATCACCAAATTCCTTTTCTCGATATACTAATTCAGAAAAATTTAAACAATTTCGAAACCTTGGTCTATAGAAAACATACTCATACTAACCGATATTTGAATTTCGACTCAAATCACCCGATAATGGTTAAAAAAGGTATCGTAAAA